AAGTACACTGGGTGGTGCAATTGTGCAGTGTACCTCGCAGTAAAAGGCCGCGCTGGAGGCGTGATTGGCGTTGAATTAGACTCCGCACATCGGCCAGAGGCACGTTGGCGTAGCACGCCCAGTTGAGTGCCCACGGTGGTCGCAGTGCCAGTACCACAGTGGCGTCAGCGACCGGCGCAAGGTCGCTCGTGTCAATTGCAGCAGAAGTTCGTTGGTGGAGGGCGAGGGCGGCGTCCACAAAGCCGCCTTGGATCGCGCGCCGAAGGCAGGGCGATGGTGTCTAATCACACGCAATTGTTTCCAACTATCCATTTCGAGACGTTGCTTCAGACAAGTTGGTCGAGGTACGAGCTGTGGGTTAAGAGGCGGGAACCAATCGCTGCCCGGCGCGCGTGCTCGCGCAAAGCGCGCGAGGTCCACCGATGGCCCTGCATCGTGAGCGCCTGCTCCAACGCGGGTCCGTCTTTGGCGTCGATCGGATAGTTGTGTTGAAGGAGCCACTCGACACTGTCAAGGCTTGCGGTCCATGCTGCCATACAAAGCAGCGAGACCTACGCAAACTCTGGACTCAAAATGCGATGTCAAAACAGTGCATTAGCACAAGAATCGTACCTGAGATGGCCATGGCACGCGTAGCGTTCGCAAGCAGCTCGCAAGCGCTAGCTTTTCGTGCGTTAGCGCCAGCACCAGACAGGTTGTATCATTGCTAAGCGCATCCTCCTTCTGTATCGTCGCGTACAGCGCAAGGAGCGCACACACGTCGGCTTCACGACCCTGTCGCTTGCAGACACTCTGTACGAGAACTGGTATGCGCCGGGCAGCGTCAAACGGCATCGGTGATGCCAACCACTGGTTTGCAAAGGGTGTCAGCAGTGGTCGACTTTGAGGATGCTCCAAAAAAATGCTTGTAATGGCACTATCGGTACACGAACATGAGCCCGAACGACGACGCCAACGAGGATCGAACCCATGCCCAATGTCGGCGCCGGCGTCGAGCAAAAGTTGCGCCGTCTCGTATTGGCTACCGCGTAGCGCCACAAGAAGCGGTGTCGTCGGCGCGTCCTCGGTCCGTACAGTGTTGATATCTTTGGAATGGCGAAAGCGGGTGACGGACGGGGTGTCACCGACCGGCGATCGCTCACAGCCGTGCACTGCGAACCACAACGTTTTGAGCTCAATCACCGACTGCTGCACATCCTGCAGCGTTCTATTCAAAGCAAATGACGCGCTTCCAGTCGAATGTAGCGTCGAGAACGTACGTGGCAGCGAGCTGTGCCCGGCGTCGTGGCGCGGCGGCGAGTTCCGGCTCGTTCGTCTTCTCCAAGTACGTGGTCGACGGTACCCCGTGCTCAATGTTGACGCCGGCGTCAATCAACGCCCGTACGATCTCATTGGCGCCGATCGCCGCGGCATAATGCAGTGCCGTGTAATGCGCGGTATCGTCAAGGGCCAGAAAGTCGGTGACCGCCAAGCCGTGGATCTGACTCGTCGCGAGCAAGTACATCGCGATGCCAAGCTGACGGCGTAAGAGACTGGTATGCAGGGCCGTGCGACCGTTGACGTCAAAAGCCGACAGCAGTTGAAGAAGAGTCGAGGTTGCTATCGCTGCGTCCAAAAGCAAAACAATGCCTTCGAGGAAGCCGTGGACTGCGCACACATGCAGCGGCGTCGCGCCCGACTGATCGGCTCGAAACATGAGATGCGGCACATGCGTCAACAAGTACTGCACGCAATCCATGTGTATCGACAAACAAGCTACAGAATTTTTGTGTCCATCGGGCGCATGAAGATAGGTGAAGCAACCTTGATGCAGCAAGCTCCATTGGAGTTGGGGCAACACGGCATCAAGCGGCAGCTTGTACGTGGTAGACAAGTGTTGCAGACGCGCGACGTTGCCATTGCAGCACGCTTCGTAGAGGCACCCCCTAGTCATTACAGCAAAATACATGGCTCAAAAATCACAAAAAATGAAAAGAAATGTTGGGGTGTACCGCTGATGGACGTCCAGCGCTTGAATGCTCCAGCCGTCGTTGTCCAATAGTTGTAGCGTTGTCGTAGAGGCGTGTGGGAGTATTGCGTCGGCCGTGATGTATTGTTTCCGCTTCTACCCATCCCCACGATCGCATGTTGCTTCATCGTCGTTGAAGTATGCAATTGTACCAGCGCAACATGGAGCGGCGTCTCGCCCCGATGGTTTTGCACATGGAGCTGCAGAGAGACATCTCTCTCCTGCACCAATCGATCGACGCACGCGACGTGGTCATGGGTCACCGCGACGTGCAGGGCTGTCGAGAGCGTCCCATCTTGGTAGAGTGCACACGTTCCGTCGTTCAGCAAGCGATTTACAGCATCCACATTGCCATCGCGACAGGCTACGCCTCGACCATGAGACTATGTTATAACGAACGTTGATACCCTTGTGCAATGGCGGTTCGTATGTAGCGTGTGCTAGCCGCCAGAGATGTTGGCGGGAGCTCCACACGTGGGCGTATTCGAGGATGACGTCGCTGTCGTCGTCACCAGCGGTGGCGTCGTAGCGAGCAAAATATCGTTGAATGCGGCGCGCATGGCGTGTTGGCGTTGAGACCTCATCGACGAGCGCCGTATACGACTCCATAGCATCAACGTTACTCGGGTGTGCAACGGCCATGCCCATGTCGATGGGATCCTTGCCATGATATCCGGATCCGGACAATGCAAATCACACGTTTTACACATGACGTGTGTTGCGTGGGTAATATGACGTGGCATTCGGACGTTTGGCCGCCGCACACAGCGTCGGTCGTGGTCAGCTGCGGCGGCCACGCTGGTACTGCTTCATTTGTAATTGGCCGCGTCGGACGCCCACCTTGCTCTGACGTCTACTGCTGCTCATTTCGGCTTGCCGACCTTTTGAAACTCCAGCGCAAGCAATCAGCGCGCCACGATGGCCGACAACGAACGGCAGACCGAGTGTCGCCGCCACACGCGCTCTTCCTCCCGCACGCCATCGAGACCATGTCGGTCGTCGACGCACTCATCGCGATCTCAATGTTTCTGTTCGTAACAAGGTGAGTCGCCCGGCGACCACAAACTCCCCCGAACGTGTGTGTCACTGTGCATCGTCGCCGTGTCCACACTCGCCGTGTCGTATTTTCTTCAGTTCCACTTCGTCTTGCATCCATATCAGTCCAAGTCCCATCATCCTCTGCACACACGCACTTGCACGTGCCTCGTTGCCTCGTCTTGCCGCGTTGAAGTATGCCGTTGTTAGTATAGTTCATCGTATCTAGCATAGCCAGTCTAGGTTAGTCTTCTGTCGTATTTCTTTCCAATGATCACTTTCCGTTTTGCCTTCACTCGGCCACTGGGTCTTGTCTAAGTTTTACACGCTTCCTCATCACGCGCAGTAGCAGTGTCCCATCGGAAACATCCAAGGGTCATTCGTTGCATTTGGTAGCACTCACTGGGTTGCACTTGACCCTTGGGCGTCTCCGGTGGGACACTGCTACTGCGCGTGATGAGGAAGCGTATAAAACTTAGACAAGACCCAGTGGTCGAGTGAAGGCAAAACGGAAAGTGATCATTGGGTACGACAGAAGACTAATCTACACTGGCTATGCTGGATACGATGAATTACACTAAGCCGCCGTCCGTGACGCCACTGTGGCCATGCCATTCATGTCGGCTGGCCATGTGCGCCGTCGAAAACGGAGCTCGCCAAACGTGGGAATCGGGCGGTAGAGGCAGTCGGGGGCCAGCGTCGTCACGGTGGCGGTCGCATCGTTGTCGCCGACCGAGAGAAAGCATCCGATGGCTTCAAAGACGCGGCGTCGCTTATCTGTATTGGGTAGCTTGTGCACAAGGAGCTGTGGCTCGACGAGGCCGACTGACCGGCGCGAGTAGATGGCCTTTCTCGCCAACCAGTGGCCAAAGCATCGCGCTCGGTCGGGAGCTCGCTGTCGCCATTGTACTGCACCTCTTGACGGGAGTTGATCCTCGGGTTGTCGAAAGCCACGTCTTTTCTGGCGCTGTCAATCAATGTAATATGACATATTACATTGGTACACACATTGTGTGTACTAGTGCCAAGGCGGTGAATTGCATTTTACCCTACCCACACCTACCCCTATTCAGCACGTGTCGCATGCATTCGTACGCCAGTATCGCTCCCGCAACGCAAACCAACAAGAATGCGTCTTCCTGCCTCAACGTATACAGCACCATAGGTCTTTGTTACGGCGTCACCTCGGGCGATGGCTCGAGCGTGACCTGATCGTCGTTGTCCTCGAGGTGGGTGGCCAACATCTCGACGACTTGAGTTGCAGACGGCCGCTCCGTCGGGTCTTCCGCCAAGCACCGAGTGGCCAGAGTCTCCAGCCACATCGCGCAGTTGGGCTTGATGGCCGGGGTGACGCTCCCATTTCGACTTGTGTTTTCGGTACCGAGGGGGCTGTCGTACGGTGTGCGGATCCACGTGAGCTCGGCCAAGACGACGCCAAACGAGTACATGTCCGCCGAGGCATTGTACGTACATTCTTCTTCGCTGCCCCGACGCGTGACTTCGGGCGCCATCGTCTGCGGCGTGCCGACGTTGTTCGTCATCTTCTTATTTACGATCCGAAGCGTGCCAAAGTCGCCGAGCTTGACGCCGTTGGTCGTGCAGAGGAAGATGTTTTTGCTCTTGACGTCGCGATGGATGAGACCGGCGCCGTGGATATATGCCAGTGCGTTGGCGACTGCCCACGCCACGTGCACGATTGGGAAGTTCTTCCCGGTCTCCCCAGAGCGCTTGTTCACGATGTAGTCGAAGAGATCACCGGCGTCCATGAGCTCGAGCACCATGTATGGCTTGCGCTTCTGATCGTCAACCACCGTCAGCAGCCGCACGAGGTACGGCGAGCGCAGTCTACAGCGCGTTTGTTCCATTCGGGTTACTTGTCATAGAGCACATACGGGCGTGCGATTTCGATTTCTTCTCAAAAGGATATGATTTCTCATGGGATGTTCGTCTTGCACGTCTTGAGCGCAATGCTGTGGTTCTTGTACGTGGCGCGATAGACCGTACCATACGTACCGCTACCAAGAATGTCGCCCACTTGAAGGTCGCCAAAGCCAACACCCGCAGTCCAAATCTAAGCAGCAAGTAATGTGACAAGCTCACTCATCAACATCGAGTCGACCTTGCTCAGGGCTGCGCCCACCGTGTTGTCGATCATGGTTGTAATCGCTCGATTCGGGCGTTGCGCCGCGGCCACCAAGATCGTCGGTCCATTGTCCTACGCACTTGGTCACACAAGGAAACAGCATCCACTTGCTCTACCGGCAGCGACTGCATGACGTTGGCGCCGGCTTCAAGCAGCAGCTTGACTGCTTCCTCGCGGCCATCGACGACCGCACACATGAGCGCCGTATGGTTGGCCTACAATAGGTTGAGAGTTGTGTCGATACATTGGGATGCAAAACGCACCGTGTTTCGCTGTTCGACATCGAGGCCGGTGACGCCTTTGCGAAGCACCACTCGCAGTATGCCCGAGCTGTCGGGTAGTGATAGCGCTATGTGCAGCGGCGGGTCCATGGTCTACACCACGGTTGAGTACTCGCAACAGTAGACATGCATATATTGTTGCTACCGTCGGTGCAATGGAGATGTCGGCTTTGCAGCTGACAAGCATTTCAACCATAGTTCTTTCGTTGTTTTGGATCGCGAGCGCCACAGGCGTCCAGCCGTTCTACGCCCGTCGTCCCATTCGAATGCATTCGAATCATGTGTCTCCATACCGCGTCCGTGCTGTTGATGCTGTATATCGTTCGAGTGAAAAGAACACCGAGCATGATATATGAATTTCGCTCGACGGCAATGTGCCACGGCAAGAGCGCCTACATATAGATAGGTTCCATAAGACAACATTCTCCACACAATGTACGAACCTTGGGTGCGACACCGCTGTTGGTCGCAGCAAAGGCGTCGAGGATGCTCGACACCACGGACAGCTTGTTGGCGTCCATCGCTGCCTCCAGTGCCGATCGACCAGCCTACACAGAATGATACCACTTTTTTGTCACTCGGGAGAGAGGTACCGCTTCGCTCAGCGAGGTGTCAATGCCTGGTGCGCCACAGAGCCTCTCGATCAGTTTCTCGTCGTCCGCGCTGACAGCCTCTTTCCAAATCGTGTCCTACAACCACGAACATGCATCTTCGTTCCGTGCCAACCAACGTCGAGATGGTGGCTAATGGACACACCATGATGCCAGCATCCGTGATGGCAACGCCCTTGATCAGCAGCGTCTTGACAAGCGGCCAGTCGTGGTCGTCGACAGCCTTGACGAAACGTGCTTCCTGATTCCATCCTCCATGAGCGCCCGTTCGATTCACATCCTTGGCACCTGAATGCGGCGCTGGACAAGCTCGAGCTCCTCTGCAACGTCGACCAAAAACGTCGTCAAGCGCGGCGTGACGTCGCCCGTCGCCATGTCTTTGGCTGTGCGTCCATCCTACGTCCGATAGCATCTTGGCCCGATCCTGTCCAGCATGCAGCGTACCGCGTTGCACAGACACACGTGTTTTTTGGCCGCCTCGAGTTTCTCTTGACGAGCTTCCAGATCGTTTTGTGCAATGGCGTTCGTCTCGAAGGCTGGGAGCAACAAGGTTAGGAGGTAGTCCACGCACTCGAGATGCCCGTTGGCGGCTGCCAGCATGAGTAGCGTCATTCCATCCGCCTCCTACGCAGTGCCGACCATTATCCAAGAGGACACATATAAGAACTTACGTGAGCGGCCCACAAGAGATCGCAGTGTTCTTCTCGCAAGCGTACGAGCGTGGCCAGATGCCCCACGGTTGCCGCAAGGATCGCCATGCCCTAATCCACCGTACGTCTACCGCTAAAGAAAAGCAGCGTGTGTGCTACCATGGAATTCGATGCGAGCGTCAATGTCACGACGTCGGTTGGCATTTTGGGCAAAAGCATGCCCACGACTTGCACGTCTCGCTGCTGGACGGCCTCGGCAAAGCAAGTAGCGAGTGCTGCCGTGTCGGGCGATGGCTTTGCGAGCACTGCGGCGACGAGCGCGGCAGTGACGTTCGATTTACCACTGCGAGCCGCCAAGAGCAAGGGCGTCACACCCATCTACAACAACAACACTGTTTTGCTTCGTCCGGAAGCGCGAGAGCTCGCACCGTGTTGATGGCCAGCGGATTGGCGCCGCGGCCCAAGAGCAGTGTTGTCATCGCAGTGTACGCAGCCATATCGCTCGACACGTTTGCTGAGGCGACCGCCACATGCAGCGGCGTCTCGCCACGCTACGCGCCGCTTTTTCAAGTCCACAAAGTACCAATCCAAAATCTACTTCGTTGGTGGCATCGACAATGCCTTGAAACCGCAACAGAAGGTCCTCGGCGACGTCGACTTGGCCGTCGCGGGCAGCCGTCCGCAGCGCAGCACCCGTCCACATGGCCTGCAGAGCGTGCACCGGGGCATTATTGGCTTCCGCCGAGACATGCTGGTACCCACCATCGTACTACAACCAACAGGCTAAAACCGAGTAGTGGTCTACCGTGTCTCGGGCGAGCACGTCCGAGTTGGCTTGTAAAATGTGCCACGCCACCTGAAATTGCTCCAGCTCGAGTGCAAGCGAGTGCATCATGCGCACGCGGGCGGCGTCGCTGGCGACAACCGAGACGGCTAGCAACCGGTCGCACGTCTCCCAGTGGCCACGACGCATGGCCACGACAGGCAGCGGCACACCCTCCTACGACGACGCCCTGTGAGACGGCCATGGCACGGTCGAGTGATATGACCACTGTGAGCCCACTAGGTTTGACGCCGGCAGCGAGCAGATCCGTGACTGCGGCGACATCGTTCTCGAGGACGGCGTGACACAACGACGCTGTCTGCATATCAATGAGCTTGCGATCGCTTCAGAACTCTCGGAGGCAGTACCTGGTCGTTCGCGTGCTGCGTGAGCAAGTGCGCTTGGTTCTGTGCGTGGGCTTTAGCCTTTAGCAAGGCCTTGACGACTTTCGTATCCTTGGCGATTTGCAATGGCGTTTTAGAGTCCTACATGTATCACCATGACATGTGTGGAGGAACCTGCAAGGGCACCTGTGTCTTGGCCACGACGTTGGCGCCGGCGTCCACGAGGCACTTGACAGCTTGCAAGTGGCCTTCCTTGGCCGCAATATGCAGCGGCGTCCAGCCCCGCTACGCGCGTGCATGGGTTTTATGTCGCGGAATCGATGTTGAACCACGCTACCGTGTCGCACGCGTTAACGTCGCTGCCGCTCTTGACAAGGTGCTTAAGCAGATCGGTGCTCACGCAGCTCGACGTGGCCACGTGCAGGAGCGTTCCATCCTTCTACATCCCAAAATGGATCGCACCGATGTTAGTTGGGATGATCGACCGTCCAGACGTACACCACTTTTGTGCTCGAGCGAGGCACGATGGTGGAGCAGCCGCGCAACGACGTTCGTGTGGCCGCTTTGAACGGCAAGGCCGAGCGGTGTCCATCCGTCCTACAATCATGGCGCTCAGTGTCCACCAAAAGGGTGCTGCGGAGTCCAAGCTACAGCATTGACTTCGTTGATGGTCAAAGGCGCCACGAGGTGGTCGATGAGAGTGACGTGGCCGCTGGCCGCTGCATTGTGCAGCGGTAGATTTCCCTCCTACACAGGCATGTCTAGACACCAATAATCCCGCACATGGCATCACCAACCTCGTCTCGGCACCGACCAAGCAACGCCTTCTTCTCTAGTAAAAGCGAGACCATCGCATCGTGGCCATGCGTGGCCGCCACATGCAGCAGCGTGTCACCCTCCTACACACCGTGCATTAGGGACAATATTTGTCAAGCAGAGATGTACATGAGGCAGGCAACTTGACGATGCCTTGGCAAGGAGCAAGCGCTCCACAATGTTGGCGTGACCCGCTTTGACCGCCACGAAAAGGGGCACCTCGCCGGACTAGATCGAGTTGATTTCTCAATTGATTAGTTGGAAGGACGGGAAAGGTAGGTACGTTGTTGGTGCTACTGTAGGTCGAATCGTTGAGGAACAAATTGACGATCGTCAAGTGGCCGTTGGCGACCGCAAGGTGCATCGGTAGATTGCCTCGCTAGATGGTATGTGGTCGAAAGGTTGGGATGAAAATGGAACGTACCCGGTCGTTGTGCAGAGAGAGTGACAGGTCCTTTGCCAGGAGCAGCGCGGCGATAGCGTCGTAGCCGTTGACAGCGGCCACGTGCAGTGCAGTAGCTCCGTCCTATTGATGGATAGGTACTTTCAGAATATAGTCATTAATACAAACCACAATATCGTCGCACCTTATTGATGGTTGCAGGAGAGACATTGGCGCGAAGCAGGACCTCGACGTCGCATGGGTTGTTGGTCGAGGCGGCGTGGAGTAGCAGTGACCCCAAGATGTCGGTTTCAATCACCAAACCCTAATCCACGACGTTGAAGGAGTACAGAAGCAACGGAGGGAATACCGCTTTGTCAAGCGAACAGATGTGCGCGTTGGCTTTCAAAAGGGCAAAAACCACAACAACGTTGTTCTTGGCCATCGCACGGGAGAGCGCGGTTTGCTCTTCCTACGATACAAGTACGTGAGACGTCTATTGGGCAGCGTGTCATCTACCTTGTCGATAGCGTTCACATTGAGGTTGGGCTTGGAAAGAAGGGTTTGCAGAAGCTCCATGTTACCCGTGTCGACCACCAAATGCAGCAGTGGGACGAAGTTCTACAAGACGAGGATCATTAGGCCCTGGTCTCCGAACGTCCACTCGACTCGAGATGACTCAAATCGTCAAAAAAATCGTATGGAAAAATTATCCGGCTGAGGGCAGCGTTGGAGGACGAACAAAAGTCGATCCAGGGTCTACTTTTGTCGCTTCGAGGCGATTTTTCTATCGCACAATGGCAGCGCGCGCAACGCGAGGCGCGTCAAACACCACGACGAAGGCGCCTGTGCAGCGCAAGGTGAAGAAGAAGGCTGCCACCAAGAAGGCTGTCACCAAGAAGGTCTGCCTCCGCGATGCCGCCCACGCCGCCGCCCACGCCGCCGCCCACGCCGCAGGCCACGCCGACGAATGCGTGGACTTGCGGAACTTGTAGTCGCTCATGTAGACGCGGAGGGTGGACACAAGAGCGCGAAACGTAGCTTGGGAGCAGCGGAGGTTGTTGATGAACCACTGGTTGTAGCGAGGGTCAGGAATCATGTCATCGAGCTCGACCTCCATTATGGTTTGAATGTTGAACTTGTCCTATATGAGCCACAGCAAGCGCAGCTCCAGCATAGGTTGCCACCACCGCGGACGCAAAACGACGTGTGCGGTCCATTTACAGTCCAAGAGTGAGTCGACGCAAGAATGTGCGTTCGGAGACCAGGCAAATTGCGGCCAAACACAAAGGCCACCGGATACGTTTAGACGTACGGCTCGGCGACCGCATTTTTGGCAATTTGATGTCAACGCAAGATCAACAAGGGCAAGGTACATTGACACATTCGACCTTATCGACGTTTCCACGCGTAGCTTCTTGCGGCCTTGCACGAAAGACGCATCCAAGACGCCATCCGCCTCATCAACGAAACCAATATCGACGTGAATCTGCGAGACGGCGTACGTCGACTGCATCGCGAGCTACCTACTAAGGCCCTGGTCTCCGAACGTCCACTTCGACTCGAGATGACTCACATATGAGGATGGTTGCGCAAGAACTGCGCCATTTCATCGTATTTTTTTTCAACCGCGTAATCGAGCGCTGTCTTGTTGTCCTACGTCCTTTCGTTAAAAAAACGATATCGTAGAGACAACCTACGCTGTTTGTGGCGTTGATATTCGCGTTGGCGGCCAAGAGGAGGCGCACAATTTCGAGATAATTGTAGAAAGCAGCGTGAATCAGAGGTGTAGCTCCACCCTACCGATCGTGGAGTTTCAGTTGCAATTCAATCGGAAAGCGAAATATAGCGATCGACGTACCCAACGACCTTCCGTCGACACGTTCTTCTTCAGCAAGTAGACGACGACGTTCGTTTGAGCACAGCAAGCAGCCAAGCACAATACAATCTACGACCAATATCATACCAATAGATATATCCAATAGATCGATCGACAAGACAACGTACACCGTCCTCAAAGTTGGGATCAACGCCTTCTTCTTCCACGAGCCGCTTCACATCGGCCAGTTGACCTTTCAATGCAGCTCTCCAGAACTCTTTCCATGGAATCACAGACGCAGTCGATCGCTTCCTTCGTCTTCTTCATCTCTTCGTCTCATGTACCTCCTTGTCGCTCATGGTCCTCGCGGCCGTCGACGTCCAAAACGAAAATGCTCAAGTTTTCGTTTTGGACGTCGACGGCCGCGAGGACCAGGAGCGACAAGGAGGTGAAAATGCTCAAGTTTTAAATTGACCCATTTCAACAACGAAAATGCTCAAGTGACTTACCCCTTCCAATCACATGCCGCCATTTCAGCATCTCGCATTGGATTGGCCAAAATACATAGTCATGTCCCATGTCGCTCGGTTGCAATCAATATCGTCGCCGAGACCCGATCGACGAGCGCTGTCGACGATTCGATCGCATCGCCGTCGCCGCTGCTCGGGCGTGAAACACCCATAAGTAAGAATCTGCAATACGGTCTCTGGCTTGACCTGGCGACGGTCTTTTGTCGTCGACACTGCAATCGCTCACCGTGTAACTCTTGTTCTGGACGTGGACTGCAACACAGGCATGTCTGCAGGGATACGGCCTACTACGTACATCTCTCTGATAATCGTCATTGCCTCCAATGTCCAACCGAAAAGACACCCTCCTGTATATAAACATGAGCTATGAACCTGGAGTTTCGTTCAAATATAACCGTGTCTGCCGTGCACGCCAGCCAGCGTTAGCCCACTCAACCACAAACATGCGCCTCGCATGGACGACGGTCGCCCCATTGACCGGACCCAACGTGGCGCCAGTTCGAATCCGCTATCAACGCAGTGCACGCATGCAGCGCATTATCTTTTATGTATGCTGCCTCTGGAACGCCGCCGCGCCGCTCAAAGCGTGGTTCCTCTCGCGCTATGGCTTTGTGCCCACAACGACAACGACGATCGTGAACCTCCACTGGGACACGGTGCTCAACGGCAAGTTTCTCACGCAGCTCTACACCAACGCCGGCATTCCGCTCGCAACACCCCTCACTGCGACGCGCTACCTCAACGTCTTTATGGACTTCAAGATCCTTCCGCGCTCGATCGGAACCTGGGCCGGCTCGTACGCTGGCACCGAGACCGTGTACCAAATGGACTTGGACGGACGACCGCTGCGTCGGTCGCTCGACGGCGCCGCCGAAGTCGCCGCTTTCAACGCTGCACTGTCCGCGTTCACGGCCAGCGGCTTTAATCTCTGGGGCACCGAGCTCATCCGCAGCTACGTCCCGCCAACCACTTCGTTTGGGAGTCTCCAGGACGTGGCCGAGGCCGTGTTGTGCCTCAAAGGCATGTCCCTCGAGACGTTTGTGAACGT